CACACCTGGCCTAGAATTTATTTTTAATAATTTATATTTTCCTACAATTGTCCACTTCATCTGTTTTTTAAGTACAGGTTTCAAGAGTTCAAGAGGATAAAGCCTGTGTTTCTGTGTTTGTCTTGCCTACTGTTGTGTCCCCAGTATCAGTAAACGACAGAACAGCTCCCTGTAAATACTTGTTGTATGAGTGAACGTGTGTGGGAGGAAGAATTATCTTGGAAAAAAGAAGGAAGCATTAATAGGGCCTCTCCTAATAGTTACTCTTTTTTTTTTTTAGGCCACCCTGGGGCCTTTTCTTATTCAAAACATTCATGAAAAAAAGTGCAGTTCCAAAGCATTGGAGCTACTGATGTAACAATTTTTTTAAAAAATACCATTATTTGGAGCACAGCGGGGGATTCTCTGATCTTCTAGGTATTCTGTGATCTCCTGTGATCTTCTGGCTGTGATCTTCCTCTGCAGACCACCTGTCATCTTTGAGACACCCTCTTCTGTGCCTTCTCCCCCTCCCTGTTTCTTAGGTTCACCAAGAATGAATGAAGAAGCCAAGCACGGTGGCTCATGCCTGTAATCCCAGCACTTTGGGAGGCTGAGGCGGGCAGATCGCTTGAGCCCAGGAGTTCGAGACCAGCCTGAGCAACATAGTGAGACACCCCCACCCCCTCGCCCCTCTCTTAAAAAAAGAAAAAGAAAAGAAAGAATGAAGAACCCACCATGGGTCAGGCACTGTGCTAGCCTCTGCAGAAGTTTCCATACAGTACACTGGAGTGCAATACCCACGCTACGTTTTGCAGGGTCCACGGGAAGCCTTGCGGCGACCTCACTGCCGCCCAATTTCTGGGCAGCGGCAGCGCAGCGCCCCCTGGCGGCCATCCCGAGGGCGTTGCCCGCAGGCGAGGTTCGAAACTGTTGGGATTGGGACTGATTTCAGCCTCTGCTCCGGGAGGCTCTCCAGAGCTGCCTGACCTCCCGGAGCCATGCAGAAGGCCTCCCGCAAAAACAAAAAAGGTAACTGGGGAGAAGGAAGCGGGTGAAGAAGCCCTGGAGACCAAGCCTTCCTCAATTTTCCTCCTCTGTAAAAATGGCAATGGTACATTCTTGGCCTGGGAGATAACCTCTCTCCATCGTTGTTATTATTATTATTATTCTTATCATCATCATCATCATCATCATCATCATCATCATCATCATCTGAGAAGGAGCCTTGCTTTGTCCCCCAGGCTGGAGTGCAGTGGCACAATCTCGGCTCACAGGATTACAGGTGCCTGCCACCAGGCCCAGCTAATTTTTTATTTTTAGTAGAGAGAGGGTTTTGCCATGTTGGCCAGGCTGGTCTCCAACTCTTGACCTCAAGTGATCTGCCCGCCTTGGGCCATCGTTATTTTTATCAAGGTATAATTTCCATGCAGTAAGATCCCCCTCTTTAAAAGCACAGCGGTATGAGTTTTGACAAGCTATACCCACGTTGAATCACCCCCTCCATCAAGATAGGGAACAGTTTCACCACTCCCTAAAATTACTTTGCAATGCCCAGTTACAGCCAAACCCCACCCCACTGCAGCTCCTCACACCCCCATCTGTTTTTTACAGTGGGTTTTTTTTTCCTTTTCCATGGAGAACATCATAAAAATGAAATCATATCGTAAGGATCCTTTACAAAATTATACCAATGTAAATAGGGACTTTGGCCCTTTCATTTTTATTAAAAGAGCACATAAATCTCAAAATAGCATACTGGTCACTGTATTTTATTTTTAGAGACAGGGTCTTCTTCTGTCGCTCAGGCTGGAGTACAGTGGTATACTCCTGGCTCACTGCAGCCTCCAACTCTTGGGCTCCAGCAATCCTCCTGCATCAGCCTCCCATAGCTGGGACTGTAGGCATGCACTATCACACTCAGATAATTTTTTTTTTTTTTTCTGAGACAGAGTCTCGCTCTGTGACCCAGGCTGGAGTGCAGTGGTGTGATCCTGACTTACTGCAACCACAGCCTTCCAGGCGGGTTCAAGTGATTCTTGTGCCTCAGCCTCCAGAGTAGCTGGGATTATAGGTATGAGCCATCACACCTGGCTGATTTTTGTGTTTTCAGTAGCAACGGTGTTTCACCATGCTGGCCAGGCTGGTCTCGAACTCCTGACTTCAAGTGATCCACCCACCCTCGACCTCCCAAAGTGCTGGGATTACAGATGTGAGCCACTACGCCCGGCCTAAATAGAAGAGATGAGGTGTCACTACGTTGCCCAGGTTCTAATCACTGTATACTTCTGCTAGCCCCCAGGTGGGCTTACCGAAGGCTGCAGATTCCTGCATTGAGCAGTTCTTGTTCTTTATGGCTTTTTTCCGAACAGCATCAGGATTTGATAATGACTCGAGGTTGGCGAAGAGGCTGAACCAGGCAGGCAGGTGCCAGGCAGCCTTAGGCTTTTTCACTGCAGGGCTGTTGTCATTTGGACTGCTTGTCCTTGGGAAGGTTGACATTGCTGTCTGACTAGCCTTGTAGCAAGACCTGTAAGTCTTTCATATTTTAATGTGGTGCTCAGGGTCTGGCTCTCCCAGGACCACAGTGCTGCCTCCTCCACCTGGTTGTCCCCAAACACAGCGGCTCACTCTTTTTTTTTTTTTTTTTTGATATGGAGTCTCGCTCTGTTGTGCAGGCTGGAGTACAGTGGTGTGATCTTGGCTCACTGCAAGCTCCGCCCCCCGGGTTCAAGCCATTCTTCTGCCTCAGCCTCCGGAGTAGCTGGGACTACAGGCACCTGCATCACGCCCAGCTAATTTTTTTGTATTTTATTTTTTAGAAGAGACGGGTTTCACCGTGCTAGCCAGGATGGTCTCTATCTCCTGACCTCGTGATCCGCCTGCCTTGGACTCCCAAAGTGATGGGATTACAGGCGTGAGCCACCGCGCCCGGCTGCCACTCACTCTTTTCTGAGCTCATCCTCTTCCAGGGAGGAAGCATTGAAGATCTCACTCAGCAGCAGTAGGGTCACCTTTGTCAGTACCTTCGGGTTCCAGGGTCCCTGCCACTGGGCCCAAGCGAGCACCTTCCTCAGGTTTGATGGCTAATAGTTCATCCTGAGCATGCGCTGTGTGAAGAGCCTTTGTCTAAGGCACATCTTCAGTTTTTTCCTTGTAGCAGTTTCCATCCTCTAATGAAATTAATTGACTCAGCTCCTGCACTGCCACATCTGTGCTTTCCTGCTGGGTGAGCTTCTTTGCTTCTCAACTAGTTTTTTCAGAGGGTTGTGTAAGCGCTTTAAAGTAGTGACTTCATATGGCTGATAACCTGTGAAGCTCTCATGGGTGGCTGCCATAGTGTGAGAAATCTTCTCCGCAAAATGAAGCGGAGTGGTCTGGTACGTTGCTAGCATGTGAGACAGGAGATTGCATGTATTGACTTGCTCCATGAAGATCCACATCTAACTTCACTTTGTCAGGTTTTTTTTTTTCTTTTCTTTTCTTTTCTTTCCTTTTTTGAGATGGAGTCTCCTTCTGTCACCCAGGCTTGTAGCTGGGATTACAGGCGCACACCAACATGCCCAGCTAATTTTTTGTTTTTGTTTTTGAGACAGAGTCTCACCCTGTCACCCAGGCTGGAGTAAAATGGTGCCATCTCAGCTCACTGCAACCTCTGCCTCCTGGGTTCAAGTGATTCTCATGCTTCAGCCTCCCAAGTAGGTGGGATTACAGGCGCGTGCCACCACGCTTGGCTAATTTTTTGTATCTGTAGTAGAGACAGGTTTCACCATGTTGGCCAGGCTGGTCTCGAACTCCTGATCTCGTGATCTGCCCGCTTCAGCCTCCCAAAGTGCTGGGATTACTGGCGTGAGCTACTGCACCTGGCACAAAGTTATTTTAATTTTGCAAGATGTACTTTGTGTTTCTTGCCTTCCTGAACTTCTGCATTTGCGTATAGAGGTCTGGATCAAACTCCTGAGACACGTCCTTCATCTCTGAGTTAGGAGCCTTTTGAGCCCGGCTTCTTTTACTTAACCCTGCTGACTTTTAAAAGTGGGCTCCTGGTAGCTTACCTTATAAGCACATTGAATTTACAAGCTGAGATAGGAACCACTGGACCTTGCCCAAGATGTGACTTCTCTGTTCGTTCAGGAACCAGAGGCTCAGGTAGGGCATATCCTGCCCTCAATTGCACCCAGAACCCCAAAAGGTCTCTGAAGATGGTATCTCGTTTATATTATGCTATTTTATTTTCCCAAACAAACAGCATCTGTGGTTTAGGGGAAAGTGAGGTTGGAGATGGGCAAGGACATTTGCTTTAGAGGAAAGGGCCATGAACCCCTCCAGTTCCCTACACCCAGAGGTAGGGAGCTGGGGGAGCCTTTCCCTCAGCAGTGGCCCTGAAAACACCACAGTCACATGGACTTGGCAAGCTTGTGTGTCACTTGTCCTTATGGAAAGGAGTTGTGTGTGAAATACTGGAAAAGTGTGCCGAAAACAGATCTCCCCAGGAGCTTCCTGTGTACCGAAAAGGAGTTTGCTAGCAGCTTCCTCTTGGGAAATTAACTTGTTGTTTTGAATGTCCTTTTAGTCCCTGAAATTTTTCTTGTGAGATTTGGTTCTGTAGAAAACATATTTCAACCCCTCCCATTACCCCTTGTCTCCAAGGCCTTCGGATTTTCCTCCCACGTGCTTTTTGGATCCATCTACTGCTCATTTCTGCTGTTACTGCCATGACATGCACCACGACCCTTTCATTTTCATTTCATTTCATCTCATCTAACCATGTCCAGCTTAATTCACTTCTGAGCTTTTTCACTAAGGAAGTCTGAGAAGCAGCCTCTGTCTGCTTGGTCCTCGCTCCTCCTGCCTCCCCATCCTCTGACAGGGCCAGTTCCTTCCTTTCTCAGACCTTAACACAAAGTGCTCCTGATCCATCTTTCTTTGCCTAAATATTTCCTATTTGTCCTTATGGCCTTAATTCAAATTTTAGCCCTGCTGGAAGCCTGACCTGCCATCCTCAGATGAGACTTTGGCCCTCTGTTACTCATTCTCAGAGCCTCCGTCCATTTCTTTTATAACATGAGTTACAGTTTGTTATCCAACATATATTTACATGACTGATTGATATCTGTCACCTCCACTAGGCTGTAAACTTCATGAGGACAAGAAACACATGTGGGCCAGGCATGGTGGCTCACACCTGTAATGCCAGCACTTTGGGAGGCTGAGGTGGGAGGATTGCTTGAGGCCAGGAATTCAAGACTAGCCTGGCCAATATAGTGAGACCCTGTCTCTACAAAAACAATAAAAATTAGCCGTGTATAGTAGCGTATGCCAGTAGTCCCAGCCACTTAGGAGGTTGAGGTGGGAGGAGCCCTTGAACCCAGGAGATCGAGGCTGCAGTGAACCGTGATCATGCCACTGCACTCCAGCCTGGGCAATAGAGTGAGACCTTGTCTGTTAAAACCAAAAAACCCAACATATCTGTTTTGCTCACCATGGTAAACCCAGGGCCTAGCACACTGTCTGTATCAATAAATATTTGTTAAGTGAATAGATAATACTAACTAATATTCAGTACTCATAATATGCCAGACTCTGCAGAAGCCCTTTAATGCTCCCATTTAATTTTCAGAAGAGCTCTCCAAGGTGAACACCTTTTATCCTCATTTTACCAACAAGGAATCTGAGGAATAGGGATTAAATAACTGTCCCAGGGATCTGGCTTCAGAACCCCAGTGGGTATGGCCATGCTTCTGTCTTGGTGAAGGACTGAAATAAGTTCCCCTCTTTTGGTTAGAAAGAGGAGTCAGCATCAAGGTCAAAACATCTGTACACAACTTGAGCAAAACACAGCAGACCAAACTCACTGTGGGCAGGCTGGGATTAGGCCTCATCATCATCCAGCATGGACCCTACCTCCAGATCACCCACCTCATCAGGAAGGGGGCTGCAGCCAACGACGGGAAACTTCAGCCAGGTGACTGCCCTTTCACCATGCTTCCCAACCACCCATCCTGCCCATCTGCCTGAAGGGAGGCTTGGGTCACCGGTTTCAGTGTAACTATAAGGATATGATGGGCATGCTGGCTCACGTCTGTAATCCCAGCACTTTGGGAGGCCGAGGAGGGGGGATCACTTGAGGTCAGGAGTTCGAGACCACCCTGGCCAACATAGTAAAACTTTGTCTCTACTAAAAATACAAAAACTGTCTGGGAGCGGTGGCTCACGCCTGTAATCCCAGCACTTTAGGAGGCTGAGGTGGGTGGATCCTGAGGTCCGGAGTTCAAGACCGGCCTGGAAAAGATGGTGAAACCCTATCTCTATTAAAAATACAAAAATTAGCTGGGCATGGTGGCACACGCCTGTAATCCCAGCTACTTGAGAGGCTGAGG